GGGGGGGGGGGGGGGGGGGATTCAGCCCTCTTTGCCAAAAAAAAAGTACATAAAAAATATTTTGTATTTATTTATGGGACCCACATGTATTTGATTTGAGGGACCAACATCTGATATGTCTTAAATAGTGGGATCGTCACCACCTACCCCGGGATTTTCCGACTTCAATTTTGACTGTTATTTTGTTTTTTAGTGCACAAAATATCACTATATATAACTTGTGACATTTCATTCATTTTTCTTCACACCTCACTCCTCAGTTTTACTCTCATATCTTCTAAATTGACAAAGGAAAAAATGAAGATTTTCCTCACTTCTACTTTCACAACCATTAACCCTTAAACACAATCTATCATCATAATCATTAACCCATTAAACACAATATACCATTACAACCCTTCACCCTTAAACACAAATATGAAATCACGTCAAAGTGATAATATTTTCATGTATGTTTAAAGTGGCGATTCATTACAGGAGATAAATGGTGCCTTAGAGTATATGCCGTTAAGATCCCCCATACGTGTATTACATTTGCCTTCGTCAATAACACATTCTGGTTTGGTTAAACGTGTTACGAAAAAGTTAAGTTTACGTAGTCTTTTCATGTTATTTTATATAATATAATTCCTTACAAAAATTATATGAGTTAAGCGACGACGATGATATTCCATAACGTTGTTCATCAAAGTTTACCGGAAATATTAACACTCTTTGTTGTTGACGATGTTGTTGACGATGGTGGTTATGGTATAAATCTATCAAAGTTTACCCGACGGTAGTGGTGCAAACCCATACGGTCCAAACACTTTTTACCCCCGTGGTAGTGGTGGAAATCCAAACAGTTTTTCCCCCGGTGGTGTTCATATTTTGTACCGAAAAATCTTGTTGATCATGACAGTTATTTGGTTCAAGATTTGAACCAGTATCCGAGATAGTCTTCGAACCAGTACCTAATCCAGTCTCAGTACCAGTCTTTGGAACAGTCAAAAACTTTATGGGGGGTAGATATGGATGAAGATATTTCTGTTGTAGCAGAAATTTTGAATATACCAGAAGACGATAACTCAGATGCTAAAGAAATCCAACCGGTAAGGAATAGTTTTTGGGATATGTCCGACCCAACACCTTGCCCAGACTCTGTTATCAAACCTAGACAAGGAAACATTTCCTACCTGCCTAATCCTATGTAAAAGTTCTCCAAACTTTTGACTCGAAGGAAACACTATAGATCGCATTGGGACTAAAATGCGTTTATGAAACAAGGTTCAAAAAATCAACCAAACATCGGTACGAGGCAGTGTGTCACTCCGCTTCAGACTGTAATTGGCGTTTAATGGTTGTTTCTATCGATGATACCAATATGTTTCAGGTTTGGAAATTGCATGATGAACACATATGTTCAAGGTCCCAAGTCCACCCATACCACCGTAATGCGAATAAAAAGATTTTGGATCATATATTGGCATTAAGTTTAAAGGATTGTAGGAGAGTGTATCGTGGAAAAGAAATCATGAAAGATGTGAATCAACGGTTTAATATTAGCATCTCCTACAGCCAAGCATGGCGAGCAAAGATGTATGACTTGCAACTGTTGAGGGGGACATCTGAATCATCGTTCAACCTACTCCCAGTTTATTGTCAAAATCTGAAGATAGCAAATCCGGGGACTGTGACAAAGATCGTTGTTGATGGACAAAGACAATTCAACATGTTGTTTGTCGCACTCGGTTGTTCGGTAATAATTTTTGTTATATTCTTGAATTCATGTCATAATTT